AAAGCAGAGCCAAGCCGTGGAGCGCGTGGGCAGCAGACAGCCCTGTCCGCTGCCCGCGTGTTCCGCCGCTTTGCTTCCTCTCCCTGGTCTGCTGGAGACCAGGGAGAGGGAGGGCCCCGTTCGTAACTGTGGATCCAACATAAGTCGGATCCGCGTAACTCGGGGACTGCCTGTAATGGAAAAAGGGAAGATTCATCTAGCCATCACTGAAGACACTGAGAAGCAAGAGTTGCCAGTGCAGGGTGGTTTTGCACCCTCCCTGCAAAGAGAAACAACATCCTGAGACTTGAAACATATGCATTGCAGAGAAGTGCACTCTTCGTCCTACCCACAAAAAGTTCAGCATAGAAAATGCAGACTAGCCCTCAAAACAGTAGGTACCTGGTTAACTAGGACAACTACAGAACAGCCTCGGTCACCTGATCAAGTTTTGTGGTTGCGGCACACCACCATTTGGAAATCCCTGATATGTATTATTGACGTTACAAAATGTTGCCAGTGAATATGTTTAATAATGTTTGTCCTTTCGGCTAAGGATTTCTAAGTATTTAACAATTACTAAAGATCACGTAAAATCTATCTAAGATAAGTTTCTATTTTCACATCTTGATAAACAGATGTTAGATGACTTGTTTTGAGCTGGGCATTTCATTTAAAGCAAGGGACTAGGCCGTCAAGTTCTGTTATATTCTTTTGCCACTAGTCAGTGCAAAGAATGTAACAGAACTTATGGCCTACTCCCTTACTCTAAATGAACTGCCTAACTCAAAACAACTCTATTTCATAGAGGCCCACTTGAAAATTACCCCTGCTTCTTAGGTCTCTTCATACATTTTTAAAATTGATATTTTTCTGTTAATATTCTTGACATCCAATCAACAGATTTTTGAAAAGCCCAGACAACTGTTTCAGAATAACAGTCAAAAAATAAAAACAAAAAACCCGCAGAGAATTCCTATTCTTATAGAATTTTTAATACTTTTTTAAACAACTGAGAATGTATTTTACATTATTCCAATAAGTAAAAATCACCATTTCAATTTAGAATTCTTATAGAATTTTTAATACTTTTTTACACAACTGAGAACGTATTTTACATTATTCCAATAAGTAAATCACCATTTCAATTTAGAGCAATACAGCATTGAAGCAATATGTTGTACTTAACGTGCAATAAGAGTGTACCTCAATATAAAGATGTTCCTGAATTTCTCCTCTTTTTACAACTATAATGCTATTACATTCAGATGTTTCCCACTGCAATGACTTTCATTCTCACATAAAGGAAATGCTTCTGAAGCAAATTGTCCAAAAGATGACAGCTTCCCATCTTAATATTACATGAATTAAAAAACATAGCATTCTTGATAAGCATTTTTTTTCTTTCCTTTAGTATTAACTGGTTTTGATGACATTTCTATAGTTCTGTGGAATCAATTCTGTGTGAACCAGTTTGGGCGCTTTCTGTTTCTTTCAATGATCCGCTTGCCTTCATCTTGTTCTGTTGGCTTCTCTCCCTCATATAAGACTACAGTCTCTACAGTGGGAGCATTAAAAGGCCCTGCTTCCTTTTCCTTTATTTGGATCCTTATGAGACCAGTTTCCATTTTAATCTTTTTGTAACAATAGCCACAAAGGACATGTTTCTGTTTCAGATTGCCACATTCAGGACAAATATCTATATTTGTCTAAAAAGAAAATAAAGGAAAGTTAAGAGAAGTTGGGACAAACAGAGGAAAAACTTCATAAAATACAAATAAATGATAGGTTAAGGTAATGAGCAATAGCTATTTGTTTCATTAAACCTCAATTTAATTTTAGTGAGATGTATCATTTTCCCTAGAAAACAATATGTAATACTGCCATGCAAATTCCAAATTCACTGATACCCAGTTCTACTAGTCATCACAATTTAAACAAAACAAAAAAAAAGCTTAGCATCTCTCCCTACTTAAAAGCAAAAATTTAGTAGTAGAAAATTGTAATGCAATTTCATATTACAAAGACTTTAAAACAGTGTTTCTTAAACTTTTTAAGACCGAGGAACACCAAAAAACAATAATTTGTTTTTTTATGGGGAACACCAAGAATTTTTGTTGAAAACCCCCCCCTCCCCCCAAAGGATCCCCTTTGGAATGGCCATTTGAACTCTGTTCTCTCTGCGCATGGTGACCATATTTTCTGAACCAAAATTAGGGACACATTACCTACACCCTCTGACCTCTGTTTACTATGCCCCTGACTCTCAGGGTCAAGATGGACACATGACCAGAACTAAAAGTAACCCCCTCTAAGAACTTTTCACACCATCTCCTACCCATAGGGGATGTGTTTGACCCCCATCCACCCCTCTCCCCCCTGGTGCTGGTCTCCCCCCTGCAGGTGTCTGCCCTTCTGCTTCACCCCCAGAATTCCCTGGCACCTGCACCATCCCTTATCCCTGCACCCTCCTGGTGCTTCCTCCTTCCCTTGCTGCCCCTGCCCTTTCTCCCTGATGCCCATCCCCTCACCACCCTCTGCTCCAGTTCCTCTCATGCCCCTCTGTGCCCTCACACATGACTTGCTCCATCCCCACCTTCCTCATGCCCACCCCTCCTTTCAACCCTTCTCCCAGCACCTCCCCCTGCTTCCTCTTGCCCCCAATGCCCTTCCCCTCTCCTCCCCTTCTGCTGTCCCCCCCACACCTTTCCACCCCCACTGACACCTTCCTTCCCACCTCCTGCCCTTTTCCTCATTGTCTCCACTTGGCCCCCCTGCCCCTTGGTGCCTTCCCCTTTCTTCTCCTGCCCTGCCCCCCTCCCCTCAGCACATGTCCCTTTCTCTCCCATCCTCCTTCCCCCTAGCTCTCCAAGCCCCTCCTCCTCCACCTTTTGCCTTCCAGTTTGCGGGGCTGGAGTCTATGGTCAGGCCCCAGAAATCCCCACAGCCCTGACCTCTGTCAGCTAGAAATCCCTAGCTGCTTCCAAGGCAGGACGGCTTGCCGGGCCTGGAGCTGGGCCACCCATGGTACTAATGTTAGTGCTGCATTCCAGTCCCCGCACCAGTTTTGGCTCCCATTAGGTGAGCGGGGGTGGGAGGGGAGGGGAGAAACCCCCCAGCCCACCAGACCTGGCTTGCGGAGCACAGCAGAGCGAGTGGGTCTGTGCACTGCGGCTCCCCTAGTGGGGTGGGAAGGGGCAGGGAGAGAAAGGGTCGTGCACAGAGCACACCGGCCAAGTCCAAATGTACCCCGCTCTGCAGACTCCAGCCAGGCTCTGCGCGGTCTCTGCCGGGAACTCCCTGGAGCGTCTCACTGGCTCCAACCAGCGCCCCTCCCCGTCCGGCAGCAGTGGCAGCTGACTGTGGATGGAACAGGCCGGGCTGGTGGTGCACAGCGGAGGCAGTCCCGCAGCAGAGGGAAGGGGGCCACAGGTAGCGGGGTGGGGGGCATGCCGGACAGCAGCGCGTGCTGCATGGGAGCTGGAACTCTGGACACTGTGCGCCACTGGCAGTGGCCCTGACTGCCTGTACAAAGCACCAAGGGAGCCGCTTATGTGCTTGGTGGAGGCAGGGAGTTGCTGCTGTGCCGCGCTAATGCTGGATGTCTTTAAATCCGGGACTGCCCCGGGAAAAAAAGGGACGTATGGTCACCATATCTCCACAGCACACATCCGACTGCCTCACGGCACACCGGTGTACCACGGATCACAGTTTAAGAAATGCTGCTTTAAAACATACTATGGTTCTATTTATTTCTATAGCCTCAAGTATAAAATTATGAACTAACCACTTATCAAACTGAATGAATCAACTGCATGTTTTATTCTCTTACTAATTTGCAAAATGTATAGCTGTTCCTGTTACCAGGGCTTGATTCTAGAAAGTGACTGCTGGGACAAGTGTTTACTACCACAAACAATCCCTAAGCTAAGGTGTTACTCCTGATAACGTCTGCAGAATTGAGCTTCAAAACGCATAAGCTCATTGTGATGTGCAGGATATTTAGGCATTTTACTCACACTGAACTGTATAAGAAAATTTCATATTTTATTGGTTTGGATTTCAACACAACACCTTCATATCGGTGTACATAAGAAAATTCATTCTGTTCACTGGTGAAAAAAATTAGAGGGAACACTGACCTCAACTGTAATTTTATTTTAAAACGTAGCGTAAGGTTGCATTTTTGATTGTATCACTCAGAATGTCCATTGTATGTGAAATGCATATTTTAAATATCTTTAAAGAGAATTTACAGAGAGGTTTCTTAAGGTATTTGACCATCAATATTTTTCTTGGGCTTTAGAAAATGAGCACAAGGTAAATGCTTTATAAACATACGGTGCATTTTTAAAAGCTATTTTAAATGAATGAGATGATAAGCCAATAGAAATGTCACATATTACCTTGACTTTTATAAGTTTCTTAGGGTTTCTTCGTCTGCACCGGTTCACCTCAATGGTACGTCTCTTCTTGGGAGCTGCCATCCAAAAGATGCTATCTAAAAAGTTTGGAGCCTCATTACATTCTTCCCTAATATCTTCCACTGGCTCAAGAAGAGTAGCTGGAGTCTGAACAGCCAATGCTGGTGCTTGAGAAAAAGAGAGGAAAAAAATGCACTAAAAATAGTCTTCATCCACGTAGTTGTTTAGGTAATCAAATCCAATGCTTTGGCAATGTGTTAAAAGACAAGTGAAATAATGAAGTTTACACAGACATGGCTCTACTGACAAACTGAATAAAATGATAATTTATTTGTAGTGTTATGAAAAGATACAGATGATCCATGCAGGACAATACAAAGACTGAATTAAACGACAAAAAAATCTTTAACACGCAGAGAAAGGCAGAAAATACTCACTTTTAGTCTCCCTATATCTCTCTGAAAAGAACTGTAAGAAAATGCAAACCACAAACCTACACAACTCTTGAAAAGCACAGCTAAGATTCTTATTCCCCACACATAGCTGTCTCCTAATCGTGCCCTAGATTGATGTCTGCTGACAAAAATGGTGGTAGGTATGCATGCCTGCCCCCCAAAATGATTAGGGAGATGGAACACATGACTTACACGGAAAGACTGAAGACTTGATCTTACTCTTCTGTAGACTAAATAAGGGGGGATTTCATAGCAGCCTTCAACTACATGAAGGGGTGTTCCAAAGAGGATGGAGGGGGTATTCTCAGTGACAGATGACAGAACAGAGAAGCAATGGAGTCAAGTTGCAGTGGAGCAGTTTAGGTTGGATATTAGGAAAAACTATTTCACTAGGAGGATGGTGAAGTGCTGGAATGGATTACCTAGGGAGGTGGAAGAATATCCATCCCTAGAGGTTTTTAAGTCCCAGCTTGACAAAGCACTGGCTGGGATGATTTAGATGGTACTGGTGATGCTTTTATCAGGGGGTTGGACTCTAAAACCTCCTGAGGTATCTTCCAACCCTATGATTATAAACTGACCTCAATCAGTCTTTCAGATATTAATAATCTCCATGGCAGGATTCAAAGATTATAAAATCAGTAGAAGCCCTGGGCTTGATTGCAAAAATTGCTCTGGCCAGGACTGGCCTGCGACTCAGAGACTCTTGACTTAAAGACTTCAAATTACAAAGAATCCACAATTTACACTACTTAAAACCTGCAAAATGTCCTGTACCCTTTGCTGCAGAGGGAAGCCAAAAAAAAAAAAATTCTGCCAATGTGACCCAGAGGAAAACTCCTTTCCAACTAAGGATGTTAAGAGGTGGGTAACTGGCTAATCGTGTAGTTGATAAAAATTCTATCGACTCCACAAATAATCAAAAAGGGAAGGCGCTCAGTCCTAGCTTGCACCCAGCATGGGACATACCCCATTGCACCTCTGCAGTTTAAATGTACTAAGATCCAGGCTGCCTGCCCACCCAGCTGTTAGTACATTTCAACTGCAGAGCTGCAACACTGGTAGGTCCTGGACCCAGCACGAGCCAGTATCAATCTGGGCTGCCTGCTTGGGAGCAGCCCCTGTCTGCGGTGGCCGAGGCTGGCTGCAGACTGGGGCTGCTTTGTGGACCCACGGTAGGCAAAGGCTGCTTCATTACAGCCTACCCCTCCCTGCACTGCTGCCTCTTCTAGAGGGAGCAGGCAGCACCACAGAGACAGTGCTGGGGACTGCTGGCTGATACAGAGGCAGCAAGAGGGTTGGGGTGGGAGGAATTCAAGTAGTCATCTCGATTACCTGATAAGCCTAGGGAAGTTGACTACTTGCTTACATCCCTATTTCCAACCCCGAATATGGCAATCAGTTAGATCCTGAGCGTATGGGCAAGACCCAACCGCCAGGCATCTGTACAAGAATTCTCTGCAGCAATTGAGAGTGGAAATGTAAAATCCCATATAATTTGTTGAACGTAGGGCTAACGCTGTGTTTAACCATTTAACCGACTGAAGGGGTTACCCAACGCGCAGCACTAGTTACCTGCTAACACCCCTGAGACCTGGTCTAGCGCCCGTCCCATCACAGGCGCTGCGAGCAGTCCCAGAGCAACCTTAGCACATTCGGTCTTGGAGCCAGGTCAGGTTTTTGCCCCCGCTGCTCCCTTTGGGAAGCTCGCGGCTAACGCTGTGTTTAACCATTTAACCGACTGAAGGGGTTACCCAACGCGCAGCACTAGTTACCTGCTAACACCCCTGAGACCTGGTCTAGCGCCCGTCCCATCACAGGCGCTGCGAGCAGTCCCAGAGCAACCTTAGCACATTCGGTCTTGGAGCCAGGTCAGGTTTTTGCCCCCGCTGCTCCCTTTGGGAAGCTCGCCCAGAACCCCACCCGGCTCAGGGTGACAAATCCCAACTCCCCGCGCCCTGCAGCGAGACGGGGGCCCGGCAGGCGGGGTCTAGGACACGGGGCGGGTCTGGCGCTGAGGCCGGGGCGGGAGCTCGGCGCGGGCGGCCCAGGGCCAAGCAGCAGACCCGACCAGGTCTT